TCTCTGAAGGCCCAGACTACACACAGGGAGGCCTCTGTGACATGAGCATAGATGCAAATAGCTTCAATAAAATGTAAGCAACTTGATTTTGACAATACAGAAGAACAATATACCACAACTAAATGGTGCTTATCCCAGGAATGCGAGGCCGGTTAGACAAAAAACCCTTGGCACCAAAAGAATGATCCATTCTTAAAAATTGATAAACTGGACCTCATCAAAATTATATCCTTTCTTCTGCCTAGGACACTGTTAAACAAATGAAAAGAGAATCTATAGACTGGGAAAAAAAGATTCTCAAATCACATATCCAACAAAACATTTGCATCCAGAATATATAAAGAATTTAACATATAAAGAATTCTCAAAATTCAGTAATAAGAAAATAACCTGTCAACTTAAAAAAATTCACAACTTGAGAGTCGCAAGTTAAGTTTTATTTGGGGTAAAATGAGGGCTGCAGCCTAGGAGACAGCATTTCAGATAGCTCTGAGAAGCTGCTCCAAAGAGGCAGGGGGGAAAGATCAGTATACAGGTGATTGGGGGAAGGGAGAGTGCATGCAACCAAGCACGTATTTTTTGAACAAGGTTGCTCTGAGTCATGAGGAGCAGTTGTTACCATGAAGGATTTTTAATGCTTTTCGAGATACGAGGAGATACAAGAATTGAGCTCACAAAATAGACTCCTGAAAATATCTATCTGAAGACCTGTTCTGCCAGTTTTTCCCCCAGCACATTTCTGCTCTTCACCCTGAACTCCTGTCAGGGGTGTTGAAAATCCAGAGCTGCAGCAGTATCTGATTTAATCCTTGTGGAGGCAGATGGCAAGCACCCATGGCACTTGTAGTTAACAAACCCAATTTGAAAACGGGCAAGGAGTTAGCAGACACTTCACCAAAGCTCACCATATGATAGTAAATATGTTCAACATCAATAGGCCTGAGGAAAGTGTAAATTAAATCCACTTCAAGACATTACTACACATTTATTACTATGTGCTTAGTCATATCCGACTCTTCACAACCAGTTGCACTGTAGCCCACCAGGCTCCTCTGTCCATGGGATTTTTCAGGCAAAACAAAAAAAAACTGGAGTGGTTGCCATTTCCTTCTCAGGGGATCTTCTTGACCCAGGGATCAAACCTGCATCTCCCTCATTTGCATTGCAGGCGGATTCTCTACTGTTGAGCCACCAGGGAAACCCATTTTATATATAGTAGTGTCTATATGTTAATCCCATAATCCTAGTCTATCCTCCCCACTCCCTTTCCCCTTTGGTAACCATAAGTCATTTTCCACTTTTGACAACCTCTGATAAAGTTAAACACACACTTTCCAGATGACCCGTGAAACCTACTCCTGAATATTTACCCTACAAAAATGGAAAGTTATGTTTGCACAAAACCACAAATATTTATAACAGCTCTACTCATAATCGTCCCAAACTGGTAACCACTCAAATGTCCTTTAAGGAGTGATTCAATAAGCAAACTATGGTAAAGCCATACAGTGAAATACTACTCAGTAAAAAAAGAAACATGTTACAGATACAACCTGGCTAAATCTTAGAGGCACTGTGATGAGTGAAAAAGACCAGTCTCAAGGGTTACAGGCTGTGTGATTGTAGATAAAGCATGAAAAGACAAACCCACTGAGATGGAGAAGAGATAGGTACTTATCAGGGTTAGGGTTGAGGTGAGGGTGTGACTTCAAAGGAATTTCAAGGGAGGGTTTTGGGTGATAGAACCGCTCTGTATACTGATGGTCGTTTTTGTTGCTCGTGTGCTCAGTTGTGTCGGACTCTTCTTGACACCACAGACCACCAGGCTCCTCTGTCCATGGGATTATCCAGGCAAGAATACTGGAGTGGTTTGCCATTTCCTCCTCTAGGGGATCTTCTCAACCCAGAGACTGAACCATGTCTCCTGCATCTATTGCATTGGCAGGCAGAGTCTTTACCACCGAAGGGAAGGGAAAGTGTTAGTCACTCGGTCGTGTCCAATTCTTTGCAACCCCGAATTTTGAGGCAAGAATACCAGAGTGGGTTGCCATTCCCTTCTCTAGGCGATCTTCCCAAACCAGGGATTGAACCTGAGTCTCCTGCATTGCAGGCAGATTCTTTACCGTCTGAACCACCAGGGAAGCCCTTTTACCACTGAGCCACTTGGAAACCCCCCTGATTGTGGTGGTGGCTAACAAACCTATTCATGGGTTAAAAGTCATAGAACTGTACTCCAAACCTCCCCCTGCGGGTGCCAAGGGGAATCAGGGGAATCCCTCTCAGTCTTTAGCATTGGCAGTAGACATGTCCAATGTCAAGTACAGGTTCATTTTTCCCCATTTCCAATCATTCTGGCACCCCTAAGCTCTTCCCATACGGAAACAATGGAGCAGGTTATTGACCCCAGATCTCCCCTGGTGGCTCAGTGGTAAAGAATCCAGCTACCAGTGCAGGAGATGGGGGTTCAATCCCTGGACCAAGAATATCCCCTGGAGGAGGAAATGGCAACCCACTTCAATATTCTTGCCTGGGAAATCCCATGGACAGAGGAACCTGGTGGGCTCAAGTCCACGGGATTGCAAGAGTCATACGCGACTTAGTGACTAAAACAACAGCAAACTGCCCTCAGACCTCCCTTCCCTCCCTTGGCTTCCCAACTGGCCTTACAAAATTCAGAAGAAACCTAGTAAGGGAGGACCTGCAATGACAGTGGGGAGAAAACGGGCTAGGCTAGCATCCTCCTTGGGGGATCAGAAGAAGGTAAAGTTTGGAAACCCACTTTAAAGTAACCATGAATGTGAAAGTGAAAGTGTTAGTCATTCAGTCATGTCTGACTCTTTTCAACCCCATGGATGGTAGCCCACCAGGCTCTTTTGTCCATGGAATTCTTCAGGCTCAAATACTGGAATGGGTTGCCATTTCCTCCTCCAGGGCGTCCTCCTGATTCAGGGAATTGAAACCAGATCTCTTGCATTACAGGCAGATTCTTTACCCTCTAAGCCTCCAGGGAAGCCCCATACATACCTCCAAATACATAATTTGAAACAGCCAAGTTGGGAAGCTGTAGGCTTGATATTATCATGCCACTGCCATGGTCCAAAACATTTCTAGAATTTTTTTTAATAGCCTCCAAGCCAGTATGGGCTGCACAAGGACTCCAACACTAACAATGAAGATTTGAGCCCTTTCTATGTATTAATGTATAATTTAATCCTCACAACAACTCTGTGAGGTAGGATCCCATTTTACAGATGAGAAAAAGTATCAAGTTTGCGGGGCTAGCAGTGGCTGTGGTAGAGGCTGGCTTTGAACCCAAATGATCAAGATCCCATGTTCTTAACCACGAGGTTAGGCCACCTATTGGTACTTTCAATTTCTTTCTTTTGTACAAATTGTTGGGTTATTTTTTAACCTCAAGTTGTATCAATCCATTTTACCCCAATTGGACCTTAGTGATTCCTAAAAAGTAAGCTCTCCTCCAAAGAAAATCACCAACACAGAATAAACTCAGAAGAACTTGCTGCAGGCTCTGGAAGTAACTCCCAAGAAAGTTTCCCAACTGCTTGGGTAACGGCAGTCTTCTGGGATGACATGTTCTACCCAAGGCCCCAGAGACGTACTGTTGGAGCCGGTATGTTGGTTAACAATCGCCCACCTCACTCCTTTGGAGTCACACCTCAAAGCAAGCAGATACCTGGGTGACAGGTGAGGGGTGCAGCTTCCAGAATCCTGCATCCCCTTCCTTCTCAAGGATGCTCAGTGAGCGTGAGAGGGCAAGTCAAATCCCTGACTCAGACATAGAAGATTAACAACTTCTCCCCGACCCAGTTTACCCCAAACGAGGAATAATATTTCTGCCCAACGAGCTCCAGGATTTGGAGTGGGAGTAAGAGTGAAGAACAGCTCGGCTATCAGCACCCTCCTCACACCCCTAGTCTTCAGCTGTGCTCACCTGGAAGCCTTGCCCACTCCCAGCCCCACCCCCATCACTTGTTTCCAGGCAAAAGAAATGCCTTTCAAATGCAAGGCAACCCTAAAGACAGCCTCCCCCCGGACAGGGAACACTCAGGGTAGCTGGGAGGAGGTTGGAAATGGGAACAGAGGCAAGGTGGGGAAACAGCCAGGAAACCTGGGACTCCAGACAGAAAAATGTGAGTCCCCTGGGGAGCTGTTAAAATACACAGACACCCAGATCCCACTCTGGGTGTTATGGGATCCAAGCACTAAAACGTATTAAAAGTCTCCAAGGTGATTTTAAAGTGCAGTCAGGGCTAAGAAGCTTCTCTAGGTCAGGGGTCAGCAAGCTTTTTCCATAGAAGGCCAGATATGAAACATTTTAGGCTTTGCAGGCCATATAGAATCTTATCCACCCCTCCCCCCACCAACCTCTTCCTCCCCTCCCACTCCTCTGCTATTTCTCTTACTCTCCTCCTCCTCTGACAACCCTCTAAAGGTATAGAAACTGTTCCAGCCATGGGCAGCACAAAAGCAGGTAGCTGGCTGGATTTAGCCCACTGGCTGCCGTTGGCTGACCCTATCCTAGGTCAACGATTCTCAAACATGAGTCCTTGGATCAGAGAGGAAGGAGGTCAGTGACATGCTGGTAAGCTGGCTCTCATAAACCAAAACCCTCACTGGCAGCCTTTGCCAATTCCACGGTGTAAATGCTCCCGCCATGCCCAGTCAGACTACCAACGTGACGTCACTGAACCAGAGTCCTAAAGAAATGTGCTCACCAGAGTCAGCACTCACCAGGCGGAACCAGGTGGCTCCAGTCCATCACTTCATGGGCATCATATGGGGAGCTGCTTAGCAAAGCACCCCTGGAAATTCTGGGGCCGCCAAGTACAGGGAACACTGTCCTTAGGTCTCTGAGGAAACAATCTGCTGACCCATTCATTCAACAAGGTTTAAACAAGGGCCTGGGCTAGACTTTGGGAAATTCCCCACCCTCAGGAAGGCCAGAGTCTAGAGGAGCCTTCCCAAGCCGGTTTTACAATATGACAGTGGACTGTGATAAGTGGGTCCAGGTACAACACTCGGAGGGGCACCTGACCTGGACTCGTGCGTCAGAGACTTATGTGTTTGGGAAAATTATCCATGACTTGGAATTTAAAGCGATACTGGTATGTGTTAGTCCCTCAGTCATGTCGATTTTTTGCGACCCCAGGGATTGTACCCACCCAGGCTCCTCTGTCCATGGTATTTCCCAGGCAAGAATACTGGAGTGGGTTGCCATTTCCTTCTCCCAGGGATCTTCCCAACCCACAGATTGAACCCACATCTCCAGCATTGCAGGCAGATTGTTTAGCAATGGAGAATTCTCCAAAAAGTCCACTGAAGGGTCATTTGACTCTCTAAGAGAATGTATTTTTGACAAATTCTTAATTAGAACTCATGCATAATATTAGAAGCTACCTTTTATAAAACAGAGACACGATTTTTTTTTTTTCTGTCCAGTAAATAAGTGCTGTGCTTAGTCACTCAGTTATGCCCAACTCTTTGCAACCCCATGGACTGTAGCCAGGTTCCTCTGGATTAGGGATTCTCCAGGCAAGAATACTGGAGAGGGTTGCCATTTCCTCCTCCAAGGGATCTTCCCAACCCAGGGATTGAATCAAGTTCTCCCGAATTGCAGGAGGAGTATTTACCATCTGAGCCACCAGGGAAGTCACAAGTGTGGAAATAAAAATCACTTATACTTTCTAATTCCAGTGTGATCAAGCTCTTTATACACCACAGCTAGGAAGAAAATTAAAGTGAAAAGAACAGGGTCACCTTGCCTACCTCTGGTCGCCTACACCATAAAACCTTGTCTATTTCCCATAAACCTGCAACACCTCTCTAACAAGTTCCATTTACCCTTGATTTGTTTGCTATCCTGCTATCCGACGATATGCTATGACCTTTGGGATTATGATAATGATAGGAGAAAGTTGGTGTTTTTCATCGTGAAAAGGCTAATTTAAACCTGATAACCTTGGTGATTTTACAGAGGTTTCTTTTTTTCTTTAAGGACTCATTATGTTTTATATTTGGTAAGTCAGCCCTTCTGAAGTCTCACTCCCTGACATCTTTGATGGTAAACTTTTTCTTTCATTTCCTAAACACTATCATCTCTGAGTCTCTGATGGAAGATATTGGGTGATGTTTTTATTGCCCGGTTGAATATTAACCAGTTTTACACTGAATTGCAAAAAGTGAAATGGTACTTTTCTTCCAGCATTTTTTTTCTCACTGACTGTATAAATCCCAATTTCTCATATCTTTTAGTGACCCAGACATTTTTCTTTCTGTTAATCCCCTCATGTATCAAGTAGCTTCAACTGTGCAACAAAACTCTGAACTGAATGGCTTCAAACAAGAGCCATTTATTTCACTCATCATTCTGCATGTTGGCTGGGAAGTTCTTCTGATCTGGGATGGACAAATGGTCTCTAGTACATGATTATGTGCTTATAGTTAGCTGGCAGAACACCTTACAGTGTTTGCCTGCCCTGCTGCTGCTGCTGCTGCTGCTGCTGCTAAGTCACTTCAGTCGTGTCCGACTCTGTGCCACCCGATAGACGGCAGCCCACCTGGCTCCCCCGCCCCTGGGATTCTCCAGGCAAGAATACTGGAGTGGGTTGCCATTTCCTTCTCCAATGGGTGAAAGGGAAAAGTGAACGTGAAGTCACTCAGTCGTGTCCGACTCTTAGCGACCCCATGGACTGCAGCCTACCAGGCTCCTCTGTCCATGGGATTTTCCAGGCAAGAGTACTGGAGTGGGGTGCCATTGCCTTCTCCATTGCCTACCCTAAGCATGAGGCAAACTTGATAACCACTATACTACGGAAATGGGACCCGGCCCCTGAGCGATCTAAAATGGCCTTGCTTCCCTGACAGGTGATTGGCCAGCTGCTGACTGGAGCAAGAGGGACAACCGTAACTGTGCCTCCAATCACCCAGCAGACTAACCCCAGCTTTTCATGCAGTAGCTGCTGGATTCCAAGAGCAGCAAGTGAGGGCAAGCACTGCTAGGCACATACTTTTCCAGTCTCTGCTAGTATTTTCTTTGCTATCGTGTCATTGTTATGTGGCAGGGTGGGAAGTACTGATATGGGGAGGCGTGGATGAACTGGAGACCTTGTTGGAATGACTTTACCACACCTCATTCATGAGTTGAATGAAAGTTTGGCACAGGCTAAGAAATAACTCTGTCAGAGTATGATGCTTCTATGGGATGAAGACATGCCAGGATGCCCAAAGGGCATTTTACCCCTGTAAAAAGACAGGGGTCAGAAAAGTGAAGAGGCAGTGAAGGGAAGTGTGCTCCAGGCAGAGGGGAAAGTGCATGCCCAGTCCTGGAGGTGGAGCTGCAGAGCCTGCTGCAGAGAAATGCCCGCTCTGGCTGGAACAAAAGGCAAAGCTAGTGAACCTTGACTTTTTTGTTGTTCCATCACTAAGTTGTGTCTGACTCTTGGTGATCCCATGGACTTCAGCACACTGGGCTGCCTTCTATTTTATTCATAGGTACTTCTGTTTAAATACATTAAGTACTTCTGTTAAGTACATGGGAAAAGACCCTGATGCTGGGAAAGGTTGAAGGCAAAAGGAGAAGAGCAGCGGAGGATAAGATGGTTGGATGGCATCATTGACTCAATGGGATATGAACTTGGACAAACTCGGAGAGATAGTGAGGGATAGGGAGGCCTGGTGTGCTGTAGTCCATGGGGTCTCCAAGAGTCGGACATGACTTAGCGACTGAAAAATGGCACTTCGTGTTTAAGCACAAAGAGGTTTCAATCACCAGTTTATCAATGGCCAGATCACTGTTAGATGAAACTTTAATGCTTTTTTGCTTTGGCTCCTATCTCTGCCTTCTGAGAAGATCTACAGTCCAGAGATCGGATCTTTCCTTGACTGAGGATCAGGCCTGATGGGCCATCTCAGTCTACAGTGAAAAGACTTGCCTTTTTGGAGACAGGAAGGATTCCTCACAGACTTTGAAGGAGGTTTGAGGAAGAAGGGAGGAGAGGCAGGAGTAAAGAGGGGTTTGGCAGGAAGCTGGGCGAGGTCCCGGGGAATTTGACCAAGACAGAGACTGCATGCACTTAGGAATAGCTGGGGGCGGGGAGAGAACCTGGCAAAGACTGTTGTGAAAGGTCTCGTGGACTCCAGAGGTTGCACAGGCTCCCTGCCTCCACCCGGACTGTTCCTCTCACAGGTGCCAGCGAGGAATTCACTTTGACTGCACCCAGCAGTTTCCCAGTGACCTCTCACCTCTGTCCTTATCAGAGTTTCTCATCTGGAAAAACCTCGCTCTGTGCCTCCAAGCTCCCATAAGCCTAAGAGCAGGGTGACAGGGGATCTGGGCTGGGAGTGACACGGTGGATTAAGGGGCATCCTCTTCCTTCTGTTTCTATTTTTTTAGGGTCTGATGGAGTGAAGTTAGACTGCACTGAATCAGCCAAAGAACCCCCGAGCCTTCCTGTCATGGGAGATCTCACAAGAGAACACAGACTAGCTTGAACACATAGTCCCCTCCCCAGAGGGAGTCACTGTGAAAGTGAAAAGTGAACGTGTTAGTCGCTTATTTGTGTCCGGCTCTTTGTGACCCCATGCACTCCTCTGGCTCTTGGGGCCAGGTTCCTCTGTCCAAGGGATTCTCCAGGAAACAGTACTGGAGTGGGTAGCCATTCCTTTCTCCAGGTGATCTTCCTGACCCAGGGATTGAACCCGTATCTCCCAATTCTTTACTGCCTGAGCCCCCATGGAAGCCTCAAGTGTGCTGTTCCAAAACTTTTGTGTGATTTTACCCACGCCGAGCTATGTGTAACATCCACAGATGTGGATTTCAGATGTGTTTTCAAACTGTTAAAGAAAGAGTGGAGGGGAGCCCAAGCAACCTAGGTTCCTATAAGAAAGCCGGATGGAAGTCACTGGGTTGGCTGTCTGAAAGGACTGAGTGATTTTATGCAAAGTAACTGGTACCCAGAGGTCAGGCTCAAAGACCGCAGGGAGAAAGAGAGATGTAACTTCATTTCCAAAGCCGCTCTTCCTTAACTTCAGGAAGAAGTGTCAGTCAGCTTCTACGATTACTGCCTTGATACCTCCATCCTGCTCTCCTGATCACAGAGAGGAAAGGAAGCTAAAGCGACTTGCAAGGAACGGGCCCCTGGGAGACGAAATAAGATTCTCCCCCCTTGAATGCCAGCGGGGAGGGAGGAGCAGAGAAGGCCAGGTTGACAGGGGAGCAGCTCAAGAGCTAATTAAGTCTGCACAGGAGCCAAGAGGGCCTCTCCCTGGGACACTGCCAGAAAGCGAAGCTTTTTGATGTAGCTCTGAAGTTTGGGCGGGCAGGCAGAGCCAACTCCAGGCCCTGGAATGAGGGCCGGTGTTGCAGCTGCCAGAAGTTTCAGGAGAGGAGGAAACGAAGAAGGCGCCTCTGGGCAGACTGAAGACCACCACCTGATTGTGCAATGACAGTGTGAGGAGGGCATTCTAGCCCTTCTCCTGGTATGATTATGTCAGTAAATGTGTTGTAATCAAACGGGCAAAACCCAGCCCCAAATGACACGAGGGTGTCATTTGAACCGGGAGGCCGGTTCACATCATAGATCAGGCACCACCCAGTGTCAGCTCCTGGAATTATAAGCACAGGTGTTAACTGGATTTGACTACTTGCAAGGCTTCCCTTGTGTGTGTGTGTGTTAGCAGGTCAGTCGTGTCCGACTCTTTGAGACACCGCCCCCCGCACCCTCCTATGAACTGTAGCCTGCCAGACTCCTCTGCCCATGGAATTCTCCAGGCAAGAATACTGGAGTGGATTGTCATTCCCTTCTCCAGGGCATCTTCCTGACCCAGGGATCAAACCTGAGTCTCCTGCATTGCAGGCAGATTCTTTACCATCTGAGACACCAGGGAAGCCTTGCAAGTAGCCAAATCCAAGGTTCAATGGTGAAGCATTGCCTGCCAGTGCAGAACTCTCGGATTCAACCCCTAGCTTAGGAAGATTCTCTGGAGAAGAAAATGGCAACCCACTCCAGTATTCTTGCCTGGGAAATCCGGAGGACAGAGGAGCCTGGTGGGCTACAGTCCACGGGGCTGCGAAAGAGTCAGACATGACTTAGCGACTAAACAACAA